CGAAACAAAATGGATGCCAGAAATGGAAAGAGTTGCGATGAGATTTGCAACTTTTTCTACGTTAGTCTTTTTAATAGTTTAAAGCCTTCACAAACAGTGGCCTAAGATGGTCCATGTGCATAGTACTCAAAAACAAGAGGGGTATATCTAAGTAAATTAGATCATATATAACTCATACGGTTAAAGAAAATATAAAAGTTCTTTGAGATTCCTCATTTGATCCTTGCATTCAAGTATTCTTAAATGGTTTGGTAGTCAAGATAAAAACTGCTTGAAAAATCTTCAGCAGAACGATTGCTTTTGACTAATCACTCTTATCATTGTTCAAACAATCAACTACTGATATAAATCTTCATTATTTTATCTTTGTCTTGTTGACAATGTGATTGAAGCGCTTACATGTTGATAATATGTTCTTTCCAATGTTTATAAAGAATCGAGAAAATAACGTTAAACTCCGTCAAGACCTTACCAACATACCTTCGAGTTCGAGTTGGCACTCAGGAATCGAGTCCTGAAAAATAAAATAAAAGCTACACAATGTTAGAGACTGACCAAAATATCGTAAACATTAAACTGATGTGAAAGATGTTTCGTTAATTTTGATATGATGAAGAAGGCGATCAAAATAATGTCATTCGAGTTTTTTTTTTTGTTGTTGTTCCTTCCTCTGTATGCGCGGCAAAGAGCTAAAGAAATGGTCGTTTATGTTAGCTTGTGACCAGTTTCATCTCTCTCTCTTAGCTCCGATTTCCCAAACAAAAAAAAAAGGAGCTAAAGAAATGGTCGTTTTACGTTAGCTTGTGACCAGTTTCATCTGTCTCTATTAGCTCCGATTTCCCAAACAACGCCCGATGTGGGTTCTGACAGTTTTCTTTGATGCATAAAAATATGTATGTTTTTTATTTCAGGTTTCACTATAGAATTCCAAGCTTTGGGTTAAAATCATGTTTTAGGACAAATCATCCAGAGCTCACAGCCTTTACGAGTTGACAACTTTGACTTTTCAATACTGCGGCAATAAGAGCGAACGAATACTAGCCAAAATACACAGAGTTGAAACCACTGATTGTGTAAGGAGCTAAACTTAAACATTACAGAATTCTGAATTCTCTTCTGAAAAACATTAGAAGGGTCTTTTTAGCTACGAACGTCAGAATTTAACAGAAAGCTGTTTCCCAACAGAATCTAGCTTTTTGTTTCTTGTTACTAACAGCATGTAGGTCTTTTCGCTTGAATTTTTTTACCGCCCGCTATGAACCATCATAAAAAAATAGAAATGTCCTGAAAAATAAAACACAATCAAAGAAATTTTTACTAACCATATTAATTGAAGTTTAGACACACGCAGCCAGTGCTCAAACTCTTTGCCCAAGACTTGTCGACTTTGAAGCGTTGCAATTTTAAGGACCGCTGCTTTAAGACAAACAAATTTATCCGATATACGAAACAAAAACCTCAAGTTACTGATTGGTGCAATATGCACCAATATTGGACTTTGTGTTTGTTCAACAAATTACCAAAATGATAAAGTTGCCTTTATCTTCTATTTTCTAGTTGACTTCAAATTAAAACAAAACTAACCTTTCAACCAAGCTTATGAAACTTTTATCCTTAGCATTGTGATTCAATTATTGTCTTATCTTGTTAATTATGTCTTCATTTATCAATAACAACTTGAGATTCTGTATGGTGTACTTTTAATTATTTCCCAGAATTTATTTAATTTCTCCAGAAACCCAGACAAGCAACACTGAACTTACAATCATGATGGTATTTAAAGACAGGCATAGTCAGCAAGAAGATTTTGTTAAAATTTACACAAGAAATATTGAGTTAAAGTTGAAAATGTGGTATCCTTAGAAGTGTACAAATCTTTGATCAGTCCACAATCAAGTATATCAGTAACAGTGAATTATTATTATTTGTGTGACGTCATAACATGTGACGTTATAGTAGCAATGTGGGTTTACAAAACATTGACCGATTCTACATATGAAATGCTGCCTCTCATTTCTATCTATCAATTAAAAACACTCAAAACAAGGAATAAGAACCCCGGGGGCAGACTCCCACCAGAAAAGGATCGGGATGATTGTCGGAAACTTTGAAAAGACCCCCTAAGCCGGGTACCAAGATCCTGTTTTGTGAGCGTGGCTTGAGA